GGTAAGGCACCTGGGCCGGGGGGGTGGGGGGAGGGGAGCAGCTGGGGAGTGAGGGCCTAGAGGCCTGGGGTGCAGCACGGGTTCGTGGGGCTCCAAACCGGTGGACCCTAAGCCCTAGCATTGCAGCTGGGCCAGGAGAGATGGTAGGAAATGTATGCTTCACAGTGTGTGTCTGTTTGGGGGTCTCCGTTTGGAGGGGGTTGTGAGGAGCTGTGTGTGTCAGGGGGTGAAGGTATGGCGGAGGAGCACATTTTCCTGTGTGGGGAATTGGGTTTGTCTCAGTGCGGGGGCTCAGCAGTGTCTCTGTGTCTGGCAGGGGCGGGAGGTTCTGCGGGAGCTGTGTGTGGTGTGTCTCCGCGGGAGGGGAGGAGGGGGCATGGTGCTCTGCGTAGGGGGGACATGTGACATGTGTGATGTGTGTGTGTGTATGTTGAGGTGTGTGAAGAAAGGCAATGAAGCTCCTGTGAATCTATGTAGAGCCCATGTGCCCAGCTCGCTGAGCTTCATCCCTCCATGCCATGAGTCCCTCTCCGTCCCAGTCCCTTTGTGTGTGAATGTGCACATGGATGTATGAGAATGTCTGACCGCGGAGGTGTTTCTGTATATGAGCCTTCAGGGACGGCTGTGTTTCCCCGTGTGTGTCGCTACATGTATATGTGTGTGAGCATGTGGCTGCAAGTGTGTGCACATATGTGCCTCTGTGTGTGGTGTGTGTGTGTGTGTGTGTGTGTGTGTGGTGTGTCCCTTTGAAGAGGTGCTTGACAGGCAAAGGAGGGGAAGGAGAGGAAGAGAGAGACACGTCCCAAGCAAGGCTGAGAGGATGCCGAGAAGGACAGACTCTTTTGTCCAAGCAGCTCTGAAGTGTGTGTGTGCTGGAGGGGGAACTGAAACAGGCTTCCTCGCTCCAGAACAGGCATGATGCCTGGAGCCGGGCACAGGACATCTGCTCTGGTGTAAGAACTGCCCCCAGTGGGGCATGCCCCATTAGGTACCCCCAGACGTGGGAGAACTTGGCCCCCCAGGTATGGCTTACAGCTTGGGAACCCCTGGGTGCAAGGCACAACTCTGTCTTCCACTCCCAGCCTAAACTGCCAGCTTAGAAAATGGAAGGAGCATCTATGGGAGAAGCAGCAAAATGGAGGCTGGGCCGGCAGAGCCAGGTCCCTGGCACACATGGCGGAGGGCCTGCCTGGTTATTTGGCTCTGCAGTCCCCAGGGTAGGGAGAGAGGAGGAGGTTTTGCTGTCGAGAGCAGGTAGTGACCATTCTGGCCACCTCTGTCCTTCTCTGGGGATAGGATGTGCTCTCACTCAGAAGCAATGATGGGGACTTCCTGGGGAGAGGAGTCCTTCCTTGGTTCTGCCCTTCTGTCTGTCTACACTTACTATTTCTTGTGTCTCTTTCCTTGGCCCCTTGCCTTCTTCAGCGAGTCTAGCTCTCTCCTTTTCCCCTCTATCCAGGGGCCCTATCCTTACAAACACTCTCTTACGCTTGTCCTGCTCAGCTGGGAGATGGGTGACAGTTGGCAATGTTTCTTTGCTGGGGCTGATCTCTGGATGCCTTTTGGCCCTGGGAGCAGAGTCCCTGAGGGGGGCAGTGGGAGGGTGGACCAGTTGGGAGCAGGAGCCTCTGGATCTCACTGGAGCTGGGCTGGAAGCATGGCTTATAACATGTGGGCACACATGGTACCCCAGGTGCATGCAAGAGCTGCATGTGCAGTTCTTTCCGTTGCGTTTCTGTTGCATGGTACTTCAGGCAGCTGTGTTGGTTTGGGGACTCTGAAGAACCATCAGTTCCTCCTGGGATCAGGGACCAGAGTGGGGCTGCAGCTGGAGTTCTCCCACCAACTCCTAGAGCTGCAGGGCATAAAGTCTTGGAGTCAGGTCCAGAAAAGGTAGAGGCATAACTAGCCAGTTCTCTTCTCATCTCATCCTCTCTGCTTCTCAAAGCCAAAGGTGTGTGGGGTGAAGGTGGGAGAGAGAAGCAGAACAGGCATATGGAGGAGCCCCCACCCTGGGTTCCCAGGTCCCCTTTTCAGAGGAGGAGATTAGGGGTAAGGCAAGAGCCAGAGAAAGATGGGGAAGGACTGTCAGGTTACCTGGGGAGAGAGGCAAGAGGGTTTCTCCATTTGGGGGGATGATGAGAGTGGGAGCCAGAAAGCAGATGCTACTTCTCTGTCCAGAATCAGATTTTTACTTGACAATGGCTACTAGTATGTCCCGTCTGGGAGGCCACCTCTGTGGGCTGGTCAGAATAACCCTGTGTTTCTGTCCCCTTCCCTTGTGTCTTCTCCCATGGCTATTGCATGTTGAAGGCCATGGACTCTGCTGCCAATCGGTCCATGGTCATCAGCTTTTCCCTCCTGGGGAATATTGTCCATTCTGCTCCTGTAGCATCTCTGGCTTTGCCTCTGACTCCCGGCCAGATCCTACCCTGGGCCTTCCTGCTGGGAAACACAAAGGGTTCCGTACTAAACACCTCTTGGTTGAAAATGGATTAGGACTTTCACTCCTTCTACCCATGTAGACTTGGGTTCCTGGGGACACATTAGGAGATGGAGAATGAGGGTTTATAAGGTACTCTGAAGGAGGCAACTTCCTTTTTTCCCATGAGCTCTGCTGGGGAAAGGGATGAGTGGCCAACACATCAGTGGCCTTGGCAGCTTGCTTTAATCCAGGTTCTAGTCTCTGCTCTGCCGCTAACTCCCGGTGTGCCTTTAACACAATCTGTGTCCTCTCTGAGCCTCAGTGCCACCATTTATCATATGAGGGAGATTGGACAAGATGGTATCTGCGGTCTTTCTACCTCTGACACAGTGGGAGTCTGTGACCTGCACCATGGAGAGCTGTGGTTAAGAAGGCAAGCAGGTCCCTGTCCAGGTCCTGGGTACCCCCATGGATGCTGGGCATGGCTTGGTTTATCTGCCATGTTCCATTTTTGCCACCCGCCTCAGGCCAGCTCCACACCCCTCCTAGTGAACCACAAGGCCCTGGAGCCCCGTCTCTCCTTGAGTGCACCACTGGCTGGCTCAGTCCCAGACCATTGAGCTGAGCTAAATGAACAGCTGAGTTTGGCATGATATGGCTGGAAGCAAGGGGAAGAGGTGGACTCCTCAGGGTCAGCCTGTCCCCATCTGTGGCCAATAGGTGTCTGGGATCTATTTGGGCTCTTCTACTCTATGGGGAGTGTGGAGGAGCAGGTTGACCAGGGGGCATCTGGCTGGGGGATGTACAGAAGGCATTTAGGGAACTGCCTCTGTCTTCCCCTAGGTAAATGGCAGCGATGGCATGTTCAAGTATGAGGAGATAGTGCTGGAGCGGGTGAGTTTGTCAGTGGGGTGGGATGAAAATGGAGGGGAGGGATTGAGCCAAGAGAGAGGAGGGCCTTGAACCTCACTCTTAGGACTCAGAGGGGGACCTGCATTGAGAGGATGGGGAAACAGCGGCACTCAGAGGCCACATCACTGCATCAATCAGTGAACCGACTAACAAATATTAATTGACCTTGCTTGCTGAAGCCTGGGGAATTGGGGAGGGGGTGGCTTTGCTGAGGCCTCTACGCCAAAATGATCAGCACAGGCTGGGAAGCCACCAGGTTTCTGACGAATGTGCCCTGGTCTGCCCTGGCCCCTTCTGAGGCCTGGAGCGCCTGGCCTGGGGATTAGGCGAGGTTGGGGAACCAGGAACCCTTCCTCATGCCCTCTGAGTGAGCAGACTGTGCCCCTTCACTCCTTTCTGCAGGGCAATTCCGGCCTGGGCTTCAGCATTGCAGGTGGCATTGACAATCCCCATGTCCCTGATGACCCTGGCATCTTCATTACCAAGATCATTCCTGGTGGAGCAGCTGCCATGGACGGGAGGCTAGGGTGAGGTGGCCTGGAAGCAGGGCTGGGGGAGGCAGGGGGAGGATGGAGATGAGGGGAGGAGGACTGCCTGGCAGGATGGCCCTTTGGTTCTATCTGAGAGGAGGAGGGGGAAAGGAATGAGGAGGAGGAGGTTGGGGGAGAGGAGCAGTAGGAGGGGAGAGAGGGGTGGAGGGGTTGTGTCACAGTGTCATGCCTCTTGGGCTTCCCCCACAGGGTGAATGACTGTGTGCTGCGGGTGAATGAGGTGGACGTGTCAGAGGTGGTGCACAGCCGAGCTGTGGAGGCGCTGAAGGAGGCGGGCCCTGTGGTGCGGTTGGTGGTGCGGAGGCGACAACCCCCACCTGAGACCATCATGGAGGTCAACCTGCTCAAAGGGCCCAAAGGTGTGGCCCTCTGGGTTCCTATGCTCTGGCCAGAGGTCCCTGGTTGGCTATGTAGGAAATGGAAGGGAATAGCCTTACTCCTTGCCTGACTCCCCATACCAGCTCACAGCCTTCTTTCTTGACCTTATGTTTCACCCTACTGACCTCGGGATGGCAGCCTAGTGTTTGGGATTCCCAGGGGAGTGTGTTGGCTGGGGGCAGGTGTTGGGTTTTGGATTGAATTGACTGAGCACTCTAACTTCTGTGTCCTTCTCCCACTTCCTGCTGGTTCCTGCCCAGGCCTGGGTTTCAGCATTGCTGGGGGCATTGGCAACCAGCACATCCCAGGAGACAACAGCATCTACATCACCAAGATCATTGAGGGGGGTGCTGCTCAGAAGGATGGCCGCCTACAGATTGGGGACCGGCTGCTGGCGGTGAGACAGTCTTCACAGAAATGCCCAAATGGTAGGGTGGGAAGGTGGAGCTCTAGCAGCCTCTCACTCCACCTGAACCTCATTCAGGTATTAGGCGTTGTGGGGAATTTCAAGAGCATCATCGGAGTTGGGTGTATCAGATACCAAGGCCCTACTTCTTTTCATGGCTGGGAGTCCCTTATCTTCTCTACCCCTATCCCAGGCTTCTCTGCTCTTCACAGCACTGTATTTGGGTCTCTGTGGGAGCACTGTTGAATTTCACTGAAAGGGCCCCTCTCAGGAGTCCCTGAGATGCCCTTCCTTCTCTCAAGTGCTAGCCCGAAGGTCTCTCCTCTTCTAGGTGAACAACACCAATCTGCAGGATGTGAGGCATGAGGAAGCTGTGGCCTCACTGAAGAACACCTCTGATATGGTCTATCTGAAGGTGGCCAAGCCAGGCAGCCTTCACCTCAACGACATGTACGCACCTCCTGACTATGCCAGCAGTACGTACCCATCTGCCCTGTCCCTGGGCTGAAGCCCCTGCCCCTGGTTTCTGGAGGGGAAGAAGTGCATACCCCTTGTTAACATGGAGAGAGAACGGAGGACTAGTGCTCAGGAGAACTGAGTCCACACCTTATAGCTGGTCCCTTGGGCAAGTCCCTTTCACCTGTCTTTAGTTTCTACTTTGGCAAAAAGGAGCTGAGCTAATGATATATGTGCTGCCTTCTTAATAGGCCTGCTGCAAGGTTCAAATGAGATCATGGATGAGAAAGCCCTTGGAAAACTGTATTAGGTTATTGAGATGTGAGGGATTATTGTTAGTTACACCTCCAGCCATGCCTTTCTTTGTAGACTGCCTTGACTTCAGCTCTTTCTAAGACTCACAGGATTGAGCCGAGGATTCAGAAAGGGACTGTGGAGGAGGAATCCTTGGGGTGGAGTGGGGCAGAGAGGCCTGAGGAATTAGCAGCCCTTGGTGCTGAGGTGCATCTGAGGTGGGGTGTGAGAGACAGTCCTTGGGGAGGAGAGGAAGGTACCTACGTGGAATGGTCTCTGAAATTTTCTCGCCCTTTCTTGATTCCAGCTTTTACTGCCTTGGCTGACAACCACATAAGCCATAATTCCAGCCTGGGTTATCTGGGGGCTGTAGAGAGCAAGGTCAGCTACCCTGCTCCTCCTCAGGTTCCCCCCGCCCGCTACTCTCCAATTCCCAGGCACATGCTGGCTGAGGAGGACTTCACCAGGTGAGACTATCCCACCCCCTGTATAGGGGTGGGGACGAGAGGAATCCGCTTCTGGCTGGCCACAGGCCTAGTGTAGTATGGCAAAGAAGAGGACAAGGCCCTCATCATTCCCACCTTTGGGGTCTGAGGCCCTCTCTCAGCCCTTGGGGCCCTAAGAAGGAACAGAAGAGACTGCAGGGACAAGTTCTACCATCAGGGGGAGTGCCAAGTGTGTGGCCCCGATCCAAAGTGCAGAGAAAGGGTGGGGTGGAGTGTTTTGGGGACCGAGGAGGTGGAGGCTGCAGAGTTCCTGCCCCAAGACAGTTGCCGCTCCCTCTGCTGCAATCATGCCGAATTACAGAAGAAAGCCGCGCGGCCAGTGGGGTTGGGTGGGACGCAGGGAGGCTGGCGGGCCAGGTGGCTTCATAGGGACCAGCCCCGCCCCACTCTGGCGGCGGCCTCTGTGGAACTGGTCAAGCCGGCCAGGGTTCCGGGGGACAGGTTTGCCGTGGGGTGGGGCCTGCTAGGCTGCTAGGCTGGCTGCAGTGGGGCCCCGGAAGGATAGGCGGACGGGGGAGAACCGCAGGAGCCATGGAGAGGGCGCTCAAGTTCTCGGGCTCAGGCTTGGCCCAGGGCTTGGGCTCGGCCTCAGCCTCGGCCTGGAGGAGGGCTTCGCAGAGGTGGGCTTGGCCGCTCCGCTCCCTACGACCTGGAGGGGATGCCAGGTAGGAGGAGAGGAGGGCTTCGCGCAAGAATATCCGGGACTCACTGAGGAAGCCTAGGGCCTAGACCTGGAGCAAGAAAGGAGGAATCTTGGACTTGGGGCTCCTCTGATGAAAGATGCTTAAAAGTGAATGTGGTGGGCCTGAAAGTGTGCTGGGAGTCTGTATATGGATATACCTGAGTGGCTGTTGCTCTCATCTGATGACACTGTGACCATTTACTGAGGGATTTCTTACACATGGTTAGTTGTAGTCCAGGTTTTCTATGTATTTGTTCCCTTGCTTCAGTCAGGCTCTTGTGCCCTCTTGGGGGACCTGGGAACTCTTTATCTCTGTCTCCCACATCACTTAGCCAGGGTGCATAGTAATTGGTGATTACATCTGTTATTGGGGAAGGTAGGAGGGGTCAGAGTTGGGGGTGGAATTTTAGAAGAGCAGAGGAGCATGTGGAAAGTAAGTATGCACATTTTATGGATGGAGAGTGCAATCAACTCCAGAGTGATTCCACTGTTCCTAACTGGCTCCCCTTCTGTGGCCCCAGCTCCATCACACCAGTTGGTAGGATAGGAGAATCTGGGGAGGAAGAGGACCAGTGAATGGGCTCTGAACTATAGTGTTTAGAGTCCAGGCTAGGGCTTTGCTGATCTGAGAGAGTAGGGGACTATCCACTGGGGAGCTGACTCCAAGCCCTCAGGAATAAGGGAGGGAAGAGGAACTGAAACTTGGCACCTGGCAGAAAACAGCAGCCAAGCAGGTTCTAGGAGAGAAAGGGAGGAACAGGGTATCATAAACAGGGACTCAAGTCCTTCTGCAGTGATACGGGACTTGTTCCAGACAGGCCCTCCTAGCGATGCCAGATAATATCTACCTTGTTCTGACCCTTCCACTGCTTTCCCACCAGAGAGCCCCGCAAGATCATCCTGCACAAGGGCTCCACAGGCCTGGGCTTCAACATCGTGGGAGGAGAGGATGGAGAAGGCATTTTTGTCTCCTTCATCCTGGCAGGAGGCCCAGCTGACCTGAGTGGGGAGCTGCGCAGGGGAGACCGGATCTTATCGGTGAGGAGACAAAGGCGAGGTGGGAGGATAGGAGCCGTGCCAGTCTAAAAGGGAGGAGAGGAAACCTTGCTTTCTCTAAGGAACACTTCTTAAGATGGATTAAAGGCTAAGAACTGGAGAAAACTTATATTTTCTTTTGTATGTCTTTAGTGAGGGACAGGGACTGAGATGAGATTTATCCTTGAGGAGGAAATGAATGTTCCTTTTATCTTAACCCTGGTTAGCATTTGACCTCATAAAGATAATTACTACACTAGGGATGCCATATCCTTTATGTTTCCTCTTAGGGGCAAGGGTGGGATATTGAGAAAGGCATCTGAGTAGGCTTAGGGATGGGTACCCATCTCCCTGTCCTAACTGCTATGACATAGGACTCTCTTTCTTGCTTTAGGGGTGGCTCATAGCTCCTCTCTTTCAACAGGTGAATGGCGTCAACCTGAGGAATGCAACTCATGAGCAGGCTGCAGCTGCTCTGAAACGGGCTGGCCAGTCAGTCACCATTGTGGCCCAGTACAGACCGGAAGGTAGGAGAAGGAAGGAGGGGCAAGATAATTTGAGGAGTTTACACTTTCAAGTATCGGCTTTTTGCCATCATAGGCATCAAAGCCACTAGACAAGGTCCTTTCTGTTTTAGTGCAGTAACCTCTTGCTCTCTGGACAGGGGTAGGTTTGGGCAAGTCAGGGAGCATCTATGAAGGCTATGCTCAGAACCTGCTGATCAGGGCTGCAGTACAACAGAAGGCCAGTAGTGGGCAGCAGCCTACGGGAGGAAGCACAGAGATTGGGGAGGCTGGAAAAAGGGGAGGGGAAGGAATGGGGCTCGGAGGGCTCAGAGACGAAGACACGGAACTGTGTGCCCTGGAACGGAGGAGGGTAGCTTGGTTAGAAGTACTTCAGGGAGAAGTGATCCGACTTAAAACATCTTGGGCCAAAGCTCTATGATCCCCCCTCCCCCCTTTTTCTTCCCATATCAGGGTGACCATGAAAAACCCAAAAACGCGCCGAAAAGGTGATGCCAAAACCTCGGGGTAGGGAATCAGGAGTGGACCCTCTCCCCCTACGAGGGCCTTCTTTGTGTTCTCAGAGAGCTTCCCTGGGCTGGGGCGAGTGGGCGGGGCCAGTTATGCAAATTAATTCAGGCGTCTCCTCCTCCTCCCTGCCGTCCCTCTCCCCCTCCACCCCTCCTCCCCTCCTCTAGCGCGCCCCGCTTTGTGTCCGTGGTCTCCCGCGCGGGACGTAGGGGCAGCCGGAGCTGGCGCTTTCTCAGCACTAGACCTGGACTCGGACCGGCGCCAGGTGAGGTGGGGCGGACGAGGGCGGAGGTCAGGTCCCCTCCCTGTCCGCCTGAGCCTCTCTACGATTCTGTTCTCTGACTCTGTTTTCCAACACTGCCCCCCCTTTGTACTCTTCCCTCAGCCCCTGCGGGCACAGCTTGGGTCCCCTATTGGGGGTCCCTCCCGGGCCCAGGGAGCGACCCTCTCCCGTTTCCAGGCCCCTTCTGCGGCATCTCTTTGCCATCACCTCTCCCAGCCAGTTCTGCCCGCTTTGTGCCTCAGGGCCTCAGCCCTCCCGTAGCAGCTCCCTAATCCCTAACCTCTGAGGAATTTTCTAAAGCGCCCCTCCCCCGCGCTCTTGAATCCACCAAACCCGGCTACCTCTGGGAACACCAGAGATAGACTTGGCCTTTTCAGGGCCCCCAACCCACGCTTTTGTTTGCACCGACTTATTTTGCCTCCCCCTCCTCTTTGTTAGCCCAGCTTTTGTCTCTGAGGGCTGCAACTCCCAGGCTCTTCGGACATCTAGGCCCCATGGACCAGTTACTAAGGTGGAGGAAGGGACCTCTCCCGGGCAGGTGCGTTGGTGGCGTGATGAGAAAGGGAGAGGCTGGGAGCCCTATCCTCAAGCCCAGGGATCTAAAGCGCCTACCTTTGTCCTTTCCGCCCTCCCCCCACTCTGCTTCAGTACCTCCAGCCAAGAGCCTGAAGGGAAAGAAGAGAGGGGCCTGCACCTTCTGCACTAGCGTAGGGAGGTAACTAACAGGAGAGCTGGCTGGGTTGAGGTAATGGGAGAGATGCAGATGGACACTCTGAGTCATTTCTCTCCATGTTTGGTGTTCAGCTTAAAGATAAGAAACACACCTTAGGGTTATTGTTTTTATGATTTCTGTGTTTGCTGTTGGCTTCTTAGTGTAGAGCTAAACATCTGATTTTTATTAGCAACCGGTATGTATCTATTTCATGCCCACAACTTTGATAATGTAGGTTCTGCAAAGAAAATGGTTTTGTCGTGTGTGTGTGTGTGTGTGTGTGTGTGTGTAGGAGAAATTGATGTGTTTCTTTCAGTTTTGCTCTCTGATGTTTGGCACATGGAAACAATACTGTGAATTTGTCTGGTGGTAGGGTGTTGGAAACTGGTGACTACATATTTTTGTGAGTTTTGTTGGGGGAATGTAACTGGTTTCCATACAAAGCTGCAAGTTGTCCAGGGTAAAAGGATTCCTGCAGTGTTTATTGCTCTCAGACTATTTCTGAGAGTGTATAATGTATGTTGAGGTGCTGTCTTATGTTAGGTCTCTCTACCACTTGCTACACAAAGTCTTTCTTCTCTTAGGATTCAGTTGAGCCACTGCTGTTAAAGCTCTGTCACCCCAATTTTCTTTCTTTGGCTTGGTAAATCCAACAGGATCCCAACATGCAAAAGCTTCTTTTTTTCTCATTCAAAAATGAACCCTTGGAGACAAGTCTATAGGGACTATCAAGCATTCTGTGTTGGGCTCTGAATTTTCTTTGATAAAGTGATAGTATTTAAAAATATGGACTCCATGTTGATCATTTTATAAATATATTAAACACTGTTCATTAAAAGATTGTATCACATGGGCATTTACAAAATGAATAATCCAAACATATGTCTGTTGGCTAAAATGGCAGAGATCACATGTTATTGGCCAAGTAAGTGTTCATTTTTTTTTACATGGAATATGGAAGCTGGAAAGGATTATATAGTCCAAACCCTCATTGTGCAAACCGGAACAGCGACAGTAGCAGAGGGACTTGACTTGCCTGAGATCATGAAAGGAAAGTTGCTGAGGGTCAGCAGTTGGGACCAATTGTGCTTGGGAATACCTGAGAGACCTAAGACCTAGCTAGAGCAGAGGAACACCTGGAAAGGAACTAGGGAATCAAGCTTCTAATTTGAATGACTAGGCGAATAACGGAAAGAGAATGAGGGAATGAGAGATGTATGCGAAAGGGAAGATTAATCTCCATTGTGGCTACTGAGGCAGCATTGCCAAATCAGTGTAGCCTTTAGCTAGATACCCTTTAGTATGAGAGCTTTAAAAAAATAGCTTTGACTAATTAGAACAGAATAAGAACAATTCTTCCTTTTTAAATGGCTTAACTGAGATATAATTCACATACCATAAAATTCACCCATTTAGGTGTGCAACTCAGTGGCTTTTAGTGCATTCACAGAATTGTGCATCCATGGTCAGTGAATTTTAGAACATTTTCATTACTCCTCTCCTTTTAACACATAGAGAGGGTGCAATTATTGGAATTGCCTGGACATTTAGAGGCTGGATGGCAGCTCAGTGGAAATGCTCTTAACTTTGAGATTTTTTCATATATCTGGTTTGCTTAATGTAAACCCATAATGAAGATAGAAACTGTGGCTATCTATTTGAACTTTGTACTGTGCCTAACGTGGGTGCTTTACAAGTATTTTTATGATGGAGCTTTGGAAAATATTAAAATAGAAGTACTGTGATAAAAGTGCCACAGTGAGAGATGCTGTTTAATAGTTTCACTCCTGATTGCTCTAAACTGTCGTGGACACAGCAATCCTACCTATTAGCTAAAAATACCACTAGCATGATGTTCTTGGGCATGTATAATCCTGCTTTAAATTCAAATTGAAAATTTAAACAACTGGCTCTTGGCAAAGGCTCTTTTCCAATCTATTCTAAAATGAAAAATATTTTTCTGTGACTTGTGGAATTGCTCCACCAAGGGAAGGATGGGATTCATGTTAATACATTTTGATTTAGAAACTATCTCCTGCATTTTCTCCTCTAGTTACTTTGTGATAGCCTCTGTTTATAAACTGAACTAGTGTTTTTCTGGAAAGCCCTTTGTTTATAGAGTAAAACCTGAACCCTAAATCAGGAGGTGAGCCAGAAATTGGTCACTAAGTTAGCTAAACTGGGAACTGATTCTTTGTGACCAATCTTTTCAACTGGAATATAAATCCAGAAAGGCTGGGGTTAACAGGGAGTAAGAGAGAATGAGAGTTTTCTATACTTATTTTAAAGTGCTGAATAAGCACACTTTCACCGTGGAAACATCTTCAGGTAAGGCCTGGAAGAGTTAAGAATCAGTGTTCATAATAACTTGAAAGCATAAAAGGGATATTTCCCCATAACTAATTAACCGTCAAGGATGTAAACATAGCTGCTACCCTATCAGTGAGATCTCTCTTGGGAGCACAGAGGTGAAAGTTTATAAAGGCAAAGAATAGTCTTGAACTGTCTGTTGCCGTCCTAAAAGAAGGCTAATGTGAGGAAGGAAGAAAATGAAGGCCTGTTAACAGTGTTTCTATACTGAACAATTTGAAGGCAGCTGGTACTGTATTTATCTGTATCCCCAGCACCTAGTCCAGAGCATGGCTCGTGTTTTGTTGAATTGAATTATTGAGTATCTCTATGTTCCAGATGGCTTTGTAAGCATTTTGGATATCCCTGTGGGATAGACAGTATAATCCCCATTTTACAGATGAGGAAAATGAAGCTTAGAGAGGTTGAGAGACTTGCTCAAGGCCACATGGTCAGTAAGGGGCAGAATCAAAAATTGAAGTCAGGTTTTCTGAGAACTTTGGGTCCCAGGCTTTTGCTACTAGGTCACAACTACCACCCACCATAGCAGAGAAGCTGTGAGCCTCCCCTTCTATCTACCTAAATACATCTGGACATAGCAAAAGATACTGCTCTGAGACTCTTCAGGTGCCAGAAGCTGTTAGCAAATGGAGTAAAACCAACTCCCAAATGTCAGCTTTTTAGTCTTGATGGCTACCAACTCCTGCACCAAAGGAAGAAGTAACCTGGAGGTAGAGGGGCTGCCAGAAGCCTGAGGGAGACCCCCTTCTCCTTCAAAAGAAAAGTGGGATTAGGAAGACTATCACAGCATAATATTGTGGGGGGAACCAGAGAAGGAGCCAAAAATTGAGAGTTGGTTTGCTTGACTTAACGGCAGAGTGTGCAGGCTTAAGAATGTTAATGCAGTAAGTAGGCATTTCTAATTTCTTCAAGTGAAATGGGATTGTATTTGTCACTCATTTGTTATGACCTTATAATTCACTCATTAAGGGTGCAATTCGGTGGTGTTTAGAATGTTTATAGAATTGTGCAACCGTCACCACAATCAGTTTTAGAACATTTCCACCACCCCAAAAAGAAACTGCACCATTTAAGTGTCACCCTCCCATCCCCCCTCAGCACTAAGCAACCACTAATCTACTTCCTGTC